AACAATGAAAGACAAACATAGATATCAGCATTATGTATTTCTTTTTTCTCGATTTATATTCGAAATTAAATATTTTATCTTGTTAGATTGCCTGGACATGAAACATTGTTTACATAAAATACTACGGTTAAATCGAGTCCAGAATAGATCCAGATCGTTTTCTTTATATTATTACATATAGTTATTTATAAATGTATATATTATTACTTTCTATTTTTTCTCATTTTCTAAGTATATTATATATCACGTGACGAGTGTACACGAATAACTAAAATACAAGAACGAGACGTATGGAAGGAAGAGAACGAGAAGAAAAAAAGATTTTCTTTCTCTTATTCACTCTCTTTTCTCTTATTTTCTCTTATTACGTTAAGCGCACGTTTTGTTGTCTACAAAATAGAGGAACCATTCGTCATTCAAATGTGTTAAAACAAGAGTAACGAAAGTCCATTTCACATCACCATCATACGCGTTCGAGCGTTTTTCAAACAAATATAAGATCCAGCGCAGCAACAGCCGAAACGAATATAATCAAATATTATTGTCGTTAACCAACGCGCTTTTATTTACAAATAAACAAATCAACTAATTATTCACGTTAACATGTCAGCAACCGACGTGGCAACAAATCAAGGAGCAGATCAAAAATCTGAAGCTAACCAAAATAAACAACAAGATCAAGCTGGTTCAGGCTCTGATGATTCAAAACAAATCAATGGTAAAAATGTCGTTGGTACGTATATTTTAACGTAAAGAAAAAGAGATTACCAACTTACTTGCTATAGTTGTATTTGTAAAAGAATTTCGTTTTATTATTTTTATCATTTATTTATTTAAGATAAGATCGTTACTTCTTTTTTTTTTGTCTAATTTAAATAATTTTCTCTTTTAGCAACAAAAGTAACTGGAACAGTTAAATGGTTCAATGTTAAAAGCGGTTATGGCTTTATTCATCGGTAATTTTTGAGAAAAAAAAAAGAAAATTTAAAATTAAAATAATGAAATATTTTTCTTTTATAGAGAAGATGCTGATGAAGATATTTTTGTTCATCAAACAGCTATTGTTAAAAATAATCCACGAAAATATTTACGAAGTGTCGGTGATGATGAAAAAGTTGAATTTGATATTGTTCAAGGTATAGAAAAAGAAAGATTAAATTTTATATTAATTAAAAATATTTTGTATGTTGATATTTAGGTGAAAAAGGTTATGAAGCTGCAAATGTCACTGGTCCAAACGGTGGTAGTGTACAAGGTTCAAAATACGCTGCTGATCGAAGACAATATAATACACCAAGCGGTTTCCGAGGAGGACGTGGTGGAGGTCGACCACCCTTCCGTGGCCGAGGAGGTCCATTCCGTGGCGGTATGTTAATTAACTTAAAATGAAGAAAAAAAAATGATTATTTATTGAATTGTTTTAGGTCCAGGCGGTTATGATCAAGGTTTTGGTCAACCATTCGACAACTTTGGTCCACCACAAATGATGGGTCGTCCACCATTCGGTCGACCACCACGTGGTTTTGGTGGCCCAATGATGCGAGGTATAAAGATTCGTAATGACCTATGTTTATCTATATTTTATTGTATTCTATTTAGGTCGCGGTCGTCCACCACTTCGTGGCGGATATGGCGGTGGCTATGATGGAGATTTTGCCGGTATGTTTTTTATTTAATAACAAAAATAATTTATATTATTTATTATTTTCTATTTAAGGTCGAGGACCACGTATCTTCCGTGGCCGTGGTGGCCCAATGATGGGAGGACCAATGGGACCAGTTCCAGGCCCAATGGGTCCACCATTCGGTGGTATGTAGTTTTATTTTTCTTCTTATGTTGCTAAGAAGAAAGTGTATAAAATTAAAATAAACAATCAATTGTATTATTTAGGTTTCCGTGGTCGTGGTGGATTCCGAGGTCGTGGTCGCGGTCGTGGCCGTGGTCGTGGTCGATTCTTCCGAGGAGCCCGTCAAGGATTCCGTCGTGATTCACAAAATGATGTAAGATTTTTGTTTTTTTCTACTTATAAATGATTGTTATTTTAACTATTGTTTTTGTTTTTTTTGCAGAATGGTAATGAAAATCACGAAGGACAAGGTGACGACCAATGATGACTTACAAAATTCATCTCAAGAAAAAAAGTTTTATAAACAAGAAAGATTATTAACTATAAATTACAACAACATTAAGCATCGTTTTCCTGTTTTTTTTTGTTTTCTGTTTTATTCTTTGAACTTCTTTATTATTTTCTGGTCATTATATTCTTGTGTTTGTGTTAAACTTGTTGGTTTTTCTTTATGGAGAAACCAAAAAAAAAAAAATGAAAAGAAACGTTCATGAAACATAAAAATAAGAGCGAATCTTTGTTTTGTTGTATATTTATGTTATTATAATTGTGCTCAAGAGAAAATATTCATTTAACAAGTAACATCAATTATCGTTATTAGCATAAGTTTTTGTTATATATTTGCTTTTATTCTATTTTTCTTCTTCTTCTTCGATATGAATGAGAGAGCTAAAAGAAAAGAGAATTTAAATAATATAAAACGATGCAAATATTTCCACTTCTATTTTCTCACAAAGAAAAAAAAATAAGAAAAAAAAACTACTCATTAACGTTACTTTGCTTTTCTTTTTTTTCATTAATTTCTTCGTCCATTATTTCCTCCCTTTTTTCTACTCAATTGGTTCTATGTTATTTATTTCCTTTTACTCTCGTCATTTGATAGTCATTTACTTTACTTAAGCAATCTAGAAAAACTCAATTTAACATTTTCTTTATATATTTTTACCCCTATCTAAATTACACTCTTTCATTTCAAAAGAAAAAAACAACATAGATGCCAACCGATCGAGCAACTAATCTTGTTGAGCGAACCAATGTTGATGGAAATGTTCGACAGAAATCATTCTATCGTTCATTTATTCAATTTCTTTTTTCAAATCTTGGTTTAGTTATAACTATTTGTGCGTATACTATTGGTGGAGCTTTTCTTTTTCAATTACTTGAACAATATATTGAATTACAAAATTGTCAGCAAGGAGCTTGTAAGTAAAGTTTTTCTTTTGTACCATGAAATTTATCAAAATTTCTTTTATCTTTATTACAAAAACAGTAACTGAAAATATATCAATAACAAATATATCTGAAACAGTATATAATTATATTGCTATCTCAGATGATAATGTCACGACAATGTATGAAACTATAGTTTACTTTTTAACAAACCTTACTAGTGATATATATGAACGTCGAAATGATTTACGATATACAGGACAAAATTGTGAAACAACATCCGGTTGGAATTTTCCATCAGCTTTACTTTTTACAATAACTGTTGTAACAACAATTGGTTATGGACATATAACACCAGTATCATGGTAAAAAAAAAACAAAATTGAATAATAGAAAAATTTATTTTATTTATATATTTTTAAAGGGAAGGACAAATAACATGCATTTGTTATGCATTAATTGGTATACCAATATTTCTTCTTTGTTTATCAAATATAAGTTCAGTACTTGGTGATATATTTCGATTTTTATATTCGGGTTTATTACATTGCTGTTGTTGTGCTTGTCGTGTTTATACACGAGCTCGTCGTCGACGAATACGTGAACTTCGTGAAGCACAAATAAGAAATCCTGGTGGAATCAATTATACTGGTACAGCATCAATGGATCCAAGTTGGCCTGAAACATCCCGTAATCAAGATGGAGGATATGGTGATGATGACGAAGATGAAGATGATTATGATATTTTTGACCGAATGGAAGGTCGTGTACCATTTGGTGCAGTTATTTTAATTATTATTGGTTATATTTGTCTCGGAGCAGTTATGTTTAATAAATTTGAAGGTTGGACAATGACTGAATCAGTTTACTTCTGTTATATTACATTATCAACAATTGGTTTTGGTGATTACGTATGTAGAAATATCCTTTTTTTTTGTTTTTTTTCTTATGAAATTTATCTTTTTTCTTCATATAATTCTTTCTAGGTACCTGGTATAACATCAAGTTCAACATCCGGTTTACGTTTCTTACTTGCATGCCTTTATATACTTTTTGGTTTAGCAATATTAGCAATGTGTTTTGATTTAATCAAGGAAGGCATTGTTGATAAATTCCGTTGGTTTGCTAATAAACTTGGTATTATTGCTGATGAAGATAATCAAGTCGATGAAGATACTACGAAATATGCTAATTTTGAATATGATACATCAAATGAACAACAGACACAACCAGGATCAAGACCAAATAGTGGTAAACGTGCGCAAGGAAAACCAAAATTAAGTGAATCATTTAGTGAACCACCAGCTTATGAATATGATGCTGCAGATGGACAATGGATGACAAATATTCGAGATAAAAATGAACGAACAGGAGGTATTGGTAACAAAAATGGAATTAGAATGAATAATGATAAACATTAAGATTATACTAATTGAAATATAAAACAATATTATTATTTGATTATTTATTTACTTTTTTTTTCTCTTCTTTTTCTCATTTATCAATCTTCATGCTTTGTATAATCTATGCTTTTCTTCACAAAGTGCTCGTAAAATAAATTAAATAAATATATTTTAACTTTTAAAAAAAGTAAATCAATCTTTTTCTTCAAATATTTATTCTATAAATATTATGACAATGACACTTTTTCTATTTACAATAGCTGAAGTTTAGCTATAAAATAAATTAGTTAAATTCTGATTTGTAATAGATGCGGAAGAACAGTTTTTTTTAGTAATGACAGTCGTAGTTAAGTATGCATAAAGAGTTTCCTGAATTCCTAGCTCGTCAATTTCCATTGAAATTGTTGATAAAATGTGTAAAATTAGAATAAAAACTTATTAATGACATAGGTCTCAATATTCTGTTATATAAATTGGGATGCGATGCGCATTCCCCAGTCAGAGTTATAGATTTTATTGCAAAAACAAGTCATCAATTGAAAAAAAACTGTTCTGCACTCTGCCTCCACTATTCAGTTTTTTCTCTGCGGCATATTTCTGATACAAATTCCATTCTTAAAGTACTATAGATCCGAAAACGATTATTATACTTTTAACATGATAATTACTCCGCTTATTCTATTAATTACCTGTACTGTACTTATAATAGTTCCTATGAATATATGGTACATGGTTAACTCATAGCGCCATCTAGTTTTGAAAGACTATTTTCTACTGGTTACTATTTTTAATCAAATAATAGTATGTTGATACTTACACTTACTATCTATTTTTGTTTCAAATGAATAATTACCATTACCAATAACCACAATGAAAGATTCATTAACCTATTCTCTTAAATATCCATAGAAAACATTTTGATGATCTATTACTTATTATATTTTAAAGATAAACTTATATGATTATTTATAGATAATTTTCCAATGACTTCTCGTTTTATTGCATGTCAACTGATAAATGTATATAGGCAAGATATAGCATTCTTTAAACAAAAATCTCAATTATTTTCTCGTTATTTAACGACAAATATTCAACCACAATTAACAACACCAACACGTCAATGGGCAATAAAACGTTATGTTTTAATTATTGGATTACCAGTAACGAGTTTTTTATTCTATCGGCTATCAACAAAATCTGACACACGACGAAAACATAGAATTGTTTTAGAAAGTATTGGACGAGCTGCTCGGTAAAAATAATTTAATTACTCTTCTATATGTAATGTTTTTTTTTGTAATTTTAGTGCAACTTCAATTGGTCTTCGATCTGCTATCGATCAAAAAACTAGTCTATTATTTAAAACTGAAGTATGAACTTTTTATATTCATCGTTAAATGTCTTATGGATTGAAAAATATCGTTCTTTAGGGTACTGATGAATATACTGCAGCACTTCAGGCATCCCGACGTCGAAATGCTAAACGTTTTGCTCATCTTTGTATTGATCTTGGTGGTGTTTATGTGAAAATTGGTCAGGCATTTGTATGTATTTCGAAAAAAAAAAAATTTTTCTCATTTCAAAATAATTCATTTCTTTAGATAAATCTTCCTGAAGTCATCCCAGTAGAATATTATGAAGAATTACAAATTCTTCAAGTAATTACATTGAAATAGTTTTAATTATTTTAATATATCATTTATTATTTAACAGGAACGTGCACTTCGTCGAGAAAAAGGCGAAGTAAAATATATTGACTTTTCTTTTCTAGAAAATTATTTTTTCTCATCTGATTAGATTGATACCTTATTTAAACGATATTTTCGTAATACACCAGAAAATGTATTTGCAAACTTTAATCGTGAACCTGTAGCAGCAGCTTCATTAGCTGAAGTCTATTCAGCTGAAACGAAACAAGGCGAACGAGTTGCTGTCAAAGTACAATATTCGGATTTACGTGAACGTTTTGAAACAGATATAACCACGGTAGATAAAAGCAAATAAATTCTAATAAATCGTATTTTATTTTTTAATAATTTCTTTTTTTGGATGAGAATTTTATTTCATCTACTTGAATGGTTTAATCCAACATGGACTATGGTAAGAATAATGTGTTGTAAAAAATTACTATATATTGATTTCATATTATTTTTAGGCTTGGTTATTAGATGTAAGTTTCTTTTAGAAAGAAAATGAAAATAAAATATATATCTTTATTGAATTAGGAATTGCACGATGATTTAGCATTAGAATTAGGTTAATTGTTTATTATAAGAAGAAAATGTTTATTTTTTATATTAAATATTTAGATTTTCTACATGAAGCAAGAAATGCTGAACGATCTCGTGAACATCTTAGACATTTAGATTATGTTAACATACCAAAAGTTCATTGGGATTTAACAAAAAAAGTATTATTGATATTTTTCTTTT